AGATATGAGCTCGACAAGGAGAAGATCACGGACGGCAGGAGCGGCCCCAAGCACTGCATGGTGTCGCTTCGGAACCCGGGCTGCCTGGACGGTCTCGTGCTCACCACCTCCATGCCCACCGCACAAGGCCAAATGCATCTCGTCGAGACCCGCCAACTTCTGGACAAGGGGCACGTACATGCTCAGGTACGAAGGGCGGGGAGGGGTGCGATCTTGACTTGGTGGCGTCGCCATTCTGCGAACTTAAAGGTGTTCGCAATGGATTGCTTGCGTCTTACCCCATAGCTGCTTGTCGCGAAAGTTTTGCCTCCTGTCGGAAACCTGACCTTCTTCTAGCATTTTTTAGAAAGTAAACATTCCCTCACAGAAAGACTACCCGTTCGGGATATTACCTCAGCCGAAAGGGATGTGTTCAGTCTTTTCAGTATGTGGATTGAAACCGACTGTTTTTTCTAGCTTTTGCTTTCAGGCCGCCTCGTGAAATTCTTCGAACCGCTTTGCTAGGATTCCGAAAAGCAAGTAGTAGCCTGCAGACCGCCCACCTATTGTGATCTGCCAGAGTCGAGGCTTCAGTGGTTGTGGGCGGGTTCGAGAGACTTGTGGCTCCCGGGTCGCTCAGAAAGCCGTGTAGGAGCAAGTCTTGGGGACGAAGATGACGCAAACCCGTCCCGTCCGGTCATGGAAGGATCCTTCGCCAAACGTGCGAATCTCATATTTTTCCTGTCCCCAGAAGGCCAAACCTCGACTCTGGCACAAGAGATAAAAAAATCTTGTTTTCTCTTACCTGCTACGGCCCTTGCTGGACCTTGTCGGCCCTACGCATACCCCACAACCCCCTTTTGTATTCCACAACCACCCCATTTGGTCGTTCTTGATTTGTGTGTTGCCAAACCAGGAGTTGCATCTGAGCAACCTCACTACGGGCGCGAGGTGTGTCACGAAGCGGACATGGGTTCGCGTGGCGGTGACGCCCCTCGATCAGGAGAGCGTGCTGCAAGAGATGAACCTCCAGCCTTGAGGCGAAGGTTGACCAGAAGCCCCGGTCAGGCGACGATGACGTCATCGATGACGTCATCGAAGGAAGGCAACCAAGGTTTGTGGACAATTAACCTTTGCCCCTTTACTTTGTGGACAACTGCCCCTTTACTTCGGGTTAGGCAGGCTCAGCTTTTCACCCTTAAAGCTCGTTGTTCCTTTTTTCCAGAGTGTTTTGTCCCGAGGAGTCAGCACCTCGAGTGTCGCAATAGCCCTGTGGAACATCCCGTCACAACAGTTATATTCTGAAGAACGGACAATAGTCGAGTTCTTTCCGATTTGCCGCACATTGATCCGTGGAGGTTGCATACGTTACGTACAGCGTCGCTAATGGGTAATCATGCAATTCTACCCTGCCGCCTGAGAGCACGTGCCACAGGGTAAAAGGTACGGCATGCTTTCTAGGTCGGTGTTTTCCCTCGCTGTAGATACGACAAATTTTTGTAACTGGGTGTTTCCATTTTTTCTTTTTCTCTTGTTTGGTGTTGTAGCGGCGACCCAGGAGTCGCTATGTGGGGTGCTGGAGGGCTTCATGTGTACGTGCGGCTTGTGAAATGGTCCATGAGTTGTTGAACGTAAGACTGTGCTGTTCCTGTTGCCGTTGTTCGACATTACACGAACCTGTTTCAGGTTGATACGCATGTGCATACATTGGGTGAAATTTTGTTGGGTTTATAGTGCTGTGCGGGGTTGGTTTCCACGTAGGATTCTACTGGCGAAGTTCATTGCGAATCGTAGACCTCATCTTGTGTGATTCTTGGAACGCTCGGAAATTGAAGTTTTCTGTCACGTCGTTAGGGTGGTATCTAGGGGGGGGTCAGCGAATGGCAACGTTCTTCAGAAAGGCTGTTCGAGTTGTTAGTTTTTCGATTTTTGTAGCTGTAGTTCAAACTGTCGTTTGGATACCTCATTTTTGTTCTTGTCGAAATTGTCTGGGCTTGATGGTCTCGCAGCCTTCTTTGGGAGAGAAGCGTACTCTGGAACAGTGATGAATGGGATGGGATAGCGTTGGTGGTGTTGGTTCGACTTCTGGTTTCGTTCTGAGGGTGCTAATTTGAGTTTTCGTGGGGAACCCCTGACCCCCACGGGTCCGCACCTCGAGCCGCCTCATGAACCCAAACCCAACCCTGCCCATCCCTGGCGTGATCACCACCACAAGAACAGTTGTGTGTGCAAGGACGGTCTTCGCGTGTAGAGGGATTGATTGTGATGACAACTCGACGAGTATCGTGGCGTTGCCTGTCTGAAGCTTTCCAGTTTTTTTTATCCGTCAACAAGTCGAGAGACAGTTTTCAGGTCTTGGTTGATTTAGTCTAGCCAGCAGTCGTCGTCCGTTTTGTGCTTGTGCAGTCTTGGTGCCTCAGCACTACCTGGTACTCCGAAGTAGTAAACAATAGTGGTCGGTGAAGAAGGTCATGTGCGCGATAGGGAAGTCTGGTTTGGAGAGTATGGGTACACTGGTGAACGAGCTCGACTGTGTGCAGCGGGCCCACTGCGGGTGTATGTCTCGTAGTGGCTGGTAGGGTAGGTGGTGCCTAACGTGTGCAATGGTGTGCCGCGTGTGTGGTTCAAGTGTGTCCTGTGGTGCCCTTTCTGCCGTTGATCTTGTGACTCTCAACCCGAAAGAGCGAAAATGTTGCCTGGACTGTCCTGCATTGAAAAGACATGCCTCAGTAGGGAATGAGGGATCAAGAGCAGGGATAGGGTGGAAGCACTGCAAAGCACCCGTTTCACACAAGCCTCGTTCATGCCTTGATGGGTGCAAGAGTGCTTCTGCTTCTTGAATGGTCGCCATACTTACCGAGCTAGACCAGGGTTTGAAGGGCTACGCGCGACGGGTTCCCTAGGGACGGAGTATATTTCCACATACGCGTCGGTCGGAGGAGCCGCCGAGAGGGGCCTCCGCAGAGTGTCATCGAGAAAGTATAGTAAATAAGTAATGTTTGCCAGCACCCGCCTTCTGCTTTGAAATTTTATTGGGGAGGGGCCATAAGGCCTGGCTGGTGGCATGGGAAACTCATGTAGTACTGATATACACACGTAATCACAAGCATTTCTGAAGTGCTCTCGTGCATTCCTGTTTTTTTGTAGAAGGTCGAGTTGAGGGGTGGCACTTCAATTAGGGCTCGGAACGTAACTGCCTGATTTTCTGTCCCTTTGAGATGTAGTAGAGAAGGTTCTGAATTGAGGCCAGTACGATATATTGTGTGGAGATTACAACAACTCGGCTCCTCAAAGTCAAGCTAAACATTGTCCTTGGAACATCGCCTGAGAAGGGCCTGACCGTCCGTGGAGTGCCTCTCAAACAAGATGGCCATCGGGTCTTGGTTGACCTGCCCGGCGACAACAAGCAGGTACAACGGTACAAACGTAAGGCTAGGCTGCAAGTATTACTTTCGGATCTTGGCCAACCTGCTTGCCAACAATGACACGCAGGAGGGATCGACTGGCTTACCCGAAGAAATAACCGACACGCTTTGCGTGTGGTGTAAGTGAAGCAAGTCCTCTTTTTCCAGGGTGTCTTGTTCTTCCACACTTCTTCGGTCCCTCTTCAACTCTCACTACTCGTTCACTGATATGATTTCGTGGTGCCTCCATGTCGCCCCGTCTACCGTTGAAAGCAGTTCCTTTGTAAACTTGAAAACATTGTGGCAGCTATGTTTCGAATCCCAGCTCGACCGAAGGGTGAACAACAGTGTTAAAAGCGCTTGTTCTCGCGGAACCCGTCTATAGAAGAGGTCACCGGTGCAATCCGGGTCGAAACTCTAAAACCATTAAGAGGAAAGACCATAGAGCATGTACAGATACTGGACGAGAGTCACGGATAGTGAATGAAACGACGACGATATATTACTATCGACGGGTGTTCGATCGCCAACAGCGTGGCTGACACTCACGGTTTCTGGGAAGTCGTACTTTCGCCCCCCGGTTCGGTTGTAGTCTTTCAAAGCGGACGCGACATTATTGAGAGCACGCCGGTCCCAACGCAGCTTGTTGATCACGTACAAATTCCTCGCTGTCATCTCTTCTTTGAAATACCTGACAGGAAGACGAGAAACAGGCAATTCGTGGGTGGTGGCAATGCGCTCCTCCGAAACGTACTGGCAGATGTTTAGCTTCGTCGTTGCCTTGCGGAGTAGGAAATCGTTGCTATTTGGATGACGTTTCAACCGTCACCGCGATTCATCAACCTCGTTGTTCTGAACAGTATGCATGCACATGGAAGTCCTACACGACGGACGTCGAAGTAACAAAGATGCACACCGATGCGTCGTAGGCAGAGTATTTCTCATCACGCTAAGTAACAGCAGTACTAGTGCCGAGGAACTGACAACACAAGCCACACTACACTCTCACATGGCCAGTTGCGGGTCTTCGAGTTGTTTGAGGCGCACCCACTCGGCCCTCTTTTGTCGTTCAAGATCCTTTTGCTCGAGATCTCGCTTCTGTTGCCATGCTCGCCAGACCTGCCGTGGGTAATAAACCAATCTAGAATCAGATACGAGACCAAGCCCGCTGGCCGCATCGAGCGAGGGAGCTAACACACATGTCTTAGACAAAGGTCGAGCGCTCAATCCGCCACCGTCAAGTCGATGTCGATTTGCTGGTAACTTTGTACTCTCGGTGCTGGCATCACCGGCGTGAACGGGGCTCCTAGATGTCTATTTTCTACCGTTCATCGCCAAATACAATTGTACTCTACTACTATTTGGTCATAGAAAGCGCCTGACAACACTTCACTATTCTCTTCAGAGGGTTCTTGGCGTGCACTTAATGAACGCCACTATTTTATTGTACAACGCTTTCCATGTACCCGATGGTTCATCAGCCCCGACGCCACGTCGTCTCCGTAAGGACTTTCGAAGAACGCCTTCATCTTCAAGCCACCTGCTAGCTTCGGGTTGGAGTGCCCCATCAAACGTGCCGTCAGCTCTTCCTGTCTGCATTTCGCCCAAGCATTCACGCGAACAGTCAGAGCTTATCTTGAGGGGGAACTCATCGATTTTTATAGCTGCCGGCGTACGGCGGCATTCCAGAACGTTTTGGGAATCATCGGCAGAGCCTTGTCGTCGAAAAAGACACCGAGGTCGCCTGGAGATTCTGTATGTGGCCTCTCAGAGCAACAAGCAATCCGTACCCGACGTCAATCGAACGGCGGCGAGGCCTTGACATACCTTTCCGTAACGTAAGCTCTGCGAAGCCTTGACATGCCCTCCGTGCACGCGTCCTCGTTGTTCTTGGTTGCTCTCGTGGCCAGATAGTCCGCCAGTATGTTCTGCTCTGCTTTTTGGGACTTGAACTTGGAACAGCGCTTGCGGTGAGACCAACCTCTCACGGTGCGCTGAAGACGGAAGACCATGCTCGCGCGCACCTCCCGATGTCTCCTTAGCTCCCTACGGAACACGATCAAGTAGCGCCGAACGCTGAGTCCCCTCCACCGCGCCTGGACGCGCCCCACCAGCTCGGCTTCTCTCTCTAGCACTCTCGTTGCTGCGAACGACATGTCCCGGCGAGTTTAAGTTTCGATGTTGGACAGAAAGTAGAGCTATGATGTTGGAAGATGGAGCCACGTAGGTGTCATCATCAATGTCTTCGATAAAAACGCATCCGTGAAGATGTGCCTCGTTTTACGCCGAAGGGATCAAGTATCTAGAATTGAAAGCTGTACATATAATAGGGTCATATTTTGCTGCGGTTGAAAGGGGAGGGCAGCCATTCCACAAGAGGAGCCAGCACAACGGCACAGCACGGACTTGATCTCACCAATCTGAGCGGAGTTTGGTCTCACCAATCTCGCGGATGTTTTGTTCTACTACAATGCGTGGCGGTCGAAAACCTGTCCTCAGCACCAGCATTCGGTAGTCAGTGTACAGCTGTCGCTCTTCCGACTCGTTCTTGTACCAAAACACCCTTTTTCGTTGTGGGTAGTGGTCCAACGCGTGCTTGATGAGCAACCGGTGGGCATTCTTCACTACCCTGAGCCACTTCTCCGTTTCGAACACGCGACGGCCCAAACGCCCCCGCAACATAGCTTGGATGACCTGCGCCGAGCGATACCGCAGCAGCTGTATGGTGCGCTGCCGCACGATTTCGGCTTTTCTCCACTGAATGTGTAGGTGTCGTCGGAAAGCACGCTGAAGCATTGTTGCGGCGATTCGCTCCAACCGCCGTCGACGTGCTAGCGCCTCGTTCCCTCCTGGCAGACAAAGAACGCAACCCGTTGGTGAAAAAACGCGTAAACCTGGGTAAATCACCCGCGTGTATCTTCAACACACTACGGATGTATATTTCCAGCGTATCTATATTTGTTTGCGTCGAATGACTTGCGTAGCCGTGCCTTCATGACATCATCACCGAAAGGTACATCAGCATGCCTGTGTTGCCTCTTGGGGTGAGGTGTTGACACCACAAACCCGCAAATATGTGGGCCCTAACACGTATTGTACTTTTAGCAGACAAGCATCAACACAGTTGTGATTTTGAAACCTTGAATTGGAGTGAACGCTTCCTGTTGTTGCCGTATTGCTGTACATACCTCTCACCTTCGATGAGACTCAAGAAGTCATGTGCCCCGACCCTCAAGCCGGCCGTCTCGCCACACCCAACGCACGGAGGCAGATTCTCGGGCCGGACCTTCCCGAAATCCACCAAACTCTTAAGCTCGAGGATGGTTCGCAGGGCCGAGGCATCGATAAAGGTCATGCCGTTGCACTTCGTGCAGCTGAGGTACCCGCTCTTGTAGAAAAGCGGCCGTCGGAGTCCTCTCCGATGTCGATACCCATGCGGGTCGAACACTGCTAGTCGTGCCCTTCGGAACAAGCTTCTGTCGGTCGTATCACTCAGTTTCGGCGGCATGAGCTGAATACTGCTGCCGGGTGACCAGGTTGATGGAAAGGAGCTCTTGGTCGCGCTAGTGCCACAGGTAGTCATAGGGGCTACACCGTTGGAAGATGCGTCTTGGTTTGCGTTGGAGGTGGCGGCATTCCGAAGGGTCGACGAAGCCGTCTCGATCAGAGCATCAGCAAGATCATCCCGCACAAGCACCTGCATGGCGATTTGGTATTGATCCTACTCTGCAAGCGGCAGGAAGCAGTGCATCGACGCTGACAATTCTTAGAGCAGCGTTGACTGCCCATCTGCCCATGGGCACGCTGGGAGGCGGCGAGACACCTAGCGTGGACTGATGGACTGATGGAGAGAGATGAAGAAAAACGGTTTCGAAAGCCCATGGAAATCCCATGTACTCCAGGGGCATGTACCTGCTGTGGGGGCGCACGAGACCGCGTCGCCGCTGCACCAGCGCCCGTTCCGTGGGAGCAACCAACACAGACAGACCAAGCTCCGTGATAAAGCGAGCAAGATAGGGAAAGAGAGAGCGATAGCAAATCTGTGTGGGGCTCGTGGTGAGTGGTTCATGTGATCGTCGCTGTGTTTCGCGCACGATGCGCGCCGCTGCTGATCACGGGACTGTAAGTTACCTTGCCAACGATTCTCTATTTTAAATCCTGATCCAACGTCCAACGCCTCAAAATCCTGACTTGATCGCAGCAGTAAACAGCAAGCAGCAGCAGCGGCAGCACACCAGCATCTTACAGGCTGTCCGCTTTGCCACGCTAGAGATGATTCACTGTATTCCATCTAACCTTGAAAGTGTTACCACCCCGCCCTTCCCATGCCCTCATCTCTCAGCACTGCACGCAGGTTGCACCCTCAGGACGGAGTCAACGCGGGTGGCACCTACCCAGCAGAGACAGGCGATGTCGCTACATTTCTCGCAAGACACACTCTCCAAGCGGGAGAAGCAAGAGATGTTCAAGAAATCTCTTGACGATCAGCGGCGCTTGAAGCAAGAAACCTCCCATCAGCAAGATAATAACCTGCCTTCCAACACAGGAAATCACGTTCCGGGTCTTGCTTCGTCTTCGGTGCCACCAGACGACCTCAGCATCCCGGGACTGAATCAGGTTGTACCCGGGCTAAATCAGCGTCCTGGATACGCACCCCGGTTCGAGGGGTCCCCTTCTCCTCAGCAAGACAAACAACCGTACATGTCGGCGGTAAGTGCATGTGCTGTTCAGACAATAAAAATAGCCTTGTCCTGAGGGACGAGGTCAACAGCGCAATGGTACGTGGTACATGGAGGTATGTACAACGTAGTCTAGATCCCCGCTTATCGTGAACGTTCTGTTTCAACCGATGTTTCACACCCTAACATGTCTGCAGCAGCAAGATGCTATCGCTTCCGCCACTAGTTAGAGGCGGGAACGGGAGGGCGGCTGCACGACAACCTTTCACATTCTACGATGAGCTT